GTGGCCATTGTCGACCTTGTGGTTATGTAAGTCCTTCTTTAATTCGTTTTATTTTTGATTTGATTTAGTCATGATTTTACTTCAGGTACTGAATGTATAAGTTTTATATTGTCTTTCGTTAAAAAATAAGTCGGGTTTTTAGTATAAATGGGGCAAAAAGTTAATAATGTGTAATTTGAGGTAGGAAATATCATCATGTTATTATGAACTTTTCCATTCGGTTGGGCAAGAGGTGTCAGACTCTTCTTAACGAAAATGTAATCTGTTTCTTCCTGCTCCTTTACCTACGTGCTAGTTTCGCCACACCGGCGCTTATCGAATTTGTTATTACTAAATTTTTTTTAAAAAATCCCCGTCTCATAATAATAAACTTCACAATTTTGTTTTAAAAAAGTACATTCGTTTTATAAATTCTTTCTCACTACTCAAATGCTTGCAAGAAATTTCAATAAAAAGGGAGGAAGGAAAATTAAAAAAAAAGGTAAAGATTTCAGATTTTGTACAGAATTTTATTTACGAAGCGATGAAAAGTGGCTGCAATTTTAAAGCTATTTTGTTGAAAATGAAGTATTCACTGATAGAAATATCGTGCTAAAATATCAATGGTAAAATGTGACTCATTCACGCTTATTTTATTTTGTCTTTTCGATCCAGATCATGAAAAGTAAATGATAGTAGTTATAGTAATTGTATTTATTTATCCGAGCTTTTACTTCTGCAGATTTTTGGTATTAAAACTATCTTATGTCTTTTCTCGAGTTTTAAACTATGTCTGTACCAAATTTCACAAAAATCGGATCAGTAGTTTAGGCGTGAAGAAAAGATAGACAGGCAGACAGACAGACAGGCAGAGTTACATGCGCATTTATAACATTAGTATAGAAGAATAGATTAATTATTAGCCAATTTTAAATGATATTTCGGTATGCTAGTCAGAGTTCGCTTGTCAATATATTTAAAAACTTGTTTTTGTTATTTTTACAAAATTTAACTTGTTCGCAAAAAAGTTACAACTTTACAGTTTTCATGTTTCTATTACCGTCATTAACACCAAATTACATCACTAATTTAAAAAAGTAATAAAAGAATTGTTACTTTTTTTTAGAATTAGCTCATAATAAAATTTTAGAATTTCTCAACCGCATTAATACGCTCTCCAATTTCCTGCTCCAGTTCATTTGATTCCAATATTTTAATTCCTGAATCTGAGTCATTGGGATAATTCTCATTTAAAGTGTGGTCTTAATCAGTTTCTCCTTTGAATGCACCTTTAATCTAAAACCGCCATTTAAATTGCTGAGCACACGTTAATTTGCCAACCTTTGACTAGGAAGGGACACATTGGCATTTTAACTGTATGTTTGGTTATCATTATTTTTTGTGTTTTCTATTTTCCATGTCATAATTTAATGTTATGTTTCATATAGCTTTCAAACTATCCGTAGGTAAAGCACCTACTCGCCCATGAGGGTCTGGCATGAAAACCTACTTTTAATGTTGTTCTGGACCGAGGTCACGGTGCCTCATTGCGCTTACCCCACAAACCCGGCTGAACATCAGCCCTATAGGGCCCGTGTGGGGTGGTCTATTGGCTCATTGAGGCGCGCGTGGAACACCGTACGCTCGGGTCTGGTTCTGGTCGGGCGGCGAGCTACCCTTACTCGCTGTCCCCAGACCCGCGCTTGCGGTGGCTGGAGATCGTCTCTTAAGGTGTTGAGTGGTTGGAAGTGCTACATATACGTGTAATGCTTGGACTAAAATCCATTGGTCGAAATCAGAGTCTGGTGATTATATTTTCGAGAGATACATAAGACCGATAAAGTTAAAGCATATCGAAAAAAAAATAAGCTATTGATTGTATTTAAATTCATTCGTAAACAAAAAGTCTTGCTGTCCGTATGTCACAATATAAATGAGGTAGATACCAGCGTGAGCCATTGAACCTAGTTTCAGCACTAAAATAACTATTTTCAGGAACAACATCGAAGATTTAGGAACAAACTTTTCTTTTGTCCTAGTGTAGTTAACGAACTTGACAATAATGTTTACAAAAAAAAAATCCTTTGTTTTAGCCAAATAATTGTGCGTTTAGATTTAAATATTAACAAAAAAAAACTCAATATAAAAATAAAAATCAAATGCTGGTACTCACTTAACTGTTTCACGAGATAACCCGATTAGTTTCAAGCTGTCATTGGGACTCATGATCATGAACCACATGACACGGCGAACGTCGTTCAACAAAGAGTTGATGTTCAACATAATTTATTAATTTAATGTCTTGTAAAACTTATAATGCTAAACATTTTTTTTATAGACAGACAGACAACTGATAATGCCCGCATCCTGTTAATTTCCACTAGTTCATTTCTTGCAGTTGAGTAAATATTTATCCAGTCGATTTTTAAATTGCTTGACATTTAGGGCTGAAACCACATTTTCCAGGAGCTTGTTCTACTGTCCAACTACTCTATTACTGAGAAAGTGTCTGTAAGGATTGTTATGTGATCTGTTAGTGCTAAGTTTTAAGTGATGGCCTCTAAGGTGGGTGTTTTCGTTGCGTGTTGAACAGCCGGTCGAACTCCTTCAAATTGTAATGTCCAGTCAAAATTTTGTAGGTTTCAATTAGGTCTCTACGGTCCCTGAGATCCTTTAAAGATGGGATATTCAACATTTTTACAAGAAAATTAATTTTGTCGTATCCAATCCAATATTACAAAGCAAAGAGTTTGTAGTCTTTTTATTTGAACGCTATGACCTATGGAACTATCGGTTCAAATCGAACAACTATTTTTGTATTTGCTAGTCTATTTATCGAGAAAGGCTATATAGGTTATAAAGCACCAAGCTACAAAACCGCATAAAAGTAGATAGTTCTGATAAAAAAACCTAAATCCTTAAAAAAGCTGTAACACAGAGAGTTACCTCAATAGCCTTTTATCGGCAAATGCTTTGTAACGTTATTTAAAAACATTTAGATGTTGAATAATAGAATAGTTTTTAGAACAAAAGCAAACTTATAATTGATAATAGAAAACATGACATGTCTTTTATAGATTACAATGATCGATCGATGTTTCGAACGACCCTTTGTCTTTAAATATTTTAGAGGTGATACGATCATTTAGAACAAGTTTCTAACGACCCATCAAAATGTCTAGAACTTTAAAGAATTAATTTTTAAAGTGTATTTAAGAATGAAAGTAATTAAGCTAGGTAGATACGTGAAGTGTCTAGAAAGTGTGGACAGGGGACACCTCTTCCCAAGCGGACGGCGCGTAGCGCCCCGCGCGTGCCTCAAAGAGGCAATAGATCACCACAGACGGGGCCCTATAAGGTTGGTGTACTGCTGGGGTTGCGGGTTAAGCGCAATGAGTCACCGCGGCCTCGGTCCAGAGCAGGAAAACGGGAGGGCACGGCTCAGAGCAGGAGAAAGAATGAAAGGGTTATTAGTCAATAAGAGTCTGACACTCTTTCTAGCCTTACCCTAGATGGGAGAGGTCATTTTACTATGACAAAGAAAAGGGACACCTCTTGATACATCAAAAGCAAAAGTTTGCGGTTTAACAAATGATATGATTGTATACTACTACTGCTGTTGTGGAATTGTTTTTCTGTGATCCTCATTTTTGGGGCATACGAGCGCGGCTTTATAATCTGGCACGTTTTAGTAGTTTATAAAACATTGCCATCATAAGAAGAAATAAAACGTCGTGTTACAATTTAAAATTTTAGGTGAGTTATAATCGTCAATTAACCCTGAGTTAGTGTTTACTATCTTTTCCATGTGTGTAAAAGCTTTTGCACAGCCGTGGGCTCTTGTAGGTTTCTTTGGCATTTAGCTTATTGTTGGAAATCGAAGTTTAAGGTTCAAGTTTATCAGAGAGCATTGCGTGGGAAGACCTCCTGCTAGGTGGACTGATGAAATCATGACAGTAGCGGGGGTCCAATGAAATCGCATTCAACGAATCTATGGCCACTTGTCCTTTGACGTGGAGATCTAAGGAGCAGGCCTTTGTCCAGCAGTGGACGTTATCCGGCTGATCATGTTGATGATGAAGATGATTCCTGGTCGCGTCTCTATCAATAATTATGTAGTGTATTTTATTCATTATCTAAAAATCGCGGGTCACTCACGTGTATAAATTGAGAAAAGCTCTACTATTAGCAGCCTGAGTAGGCTGCGCGACATTAATATATACACGTGAGTAACCCGCGATTTTTAGTTAATTTAGTATGTCTCACGACAGTTATTATTTTATTCATCCTAATTTATACCCAAAATTATCCGATTGGGACTAATATCACGATAAAGCACCTACTATGAAGACAACGAACATTAAATAGCCAGAATTGCGAAAAAACTGTCTAGAATAGAAAGGTAAAATGGCGACTAAAACATTCGATTGAAAAAGTTGGTGTCGTAAATCCGAACAGTCCATTTTATTTGTGAAATCTTCTTACACAAACATCTGTCTAGAAAACTTTGTTTGTTTGGACATTTAGTAAGACATTCGCTAAGGATAAAATGTTACTATAAATATATATTTTTTATTTAATACGGTGAGTTTTAGTGGTGCCGTATTCAACTTGGCCCTGTTTTTGGTAATAAATATTTTGTAACTAACGTTAAACAATAGGTTGTCAACCCTGAAAATCTGAAATCAACGTAGTACTTATAGTGTAACAGTATTTATTTATTTATACACTTTATACAAAAGAATGTACATGCGGACTTAATGCCTTAGGCATTGTCTAACAGTCGACCTTCAGGTGGTGGAGAGATGAGAGTGGCAGGTGACAAAAGTATATACAACAAAATTTTATGACTATACGATAGATAACAGTACTTACAAGACAGGGCAAAATTGTCTCTACAACAATACAGAAAATTTGTTTGTCTTTCTGTAACAAAATAATCAAACCACTAGTTAAATTTTACCCAACCAATCAAATCAAGGTCCGAATCTACGCGGAATAACAACAGAGTATAAAACAAAATGTCTCAACTATTTCACCCGTCCCCTAATTCAATTTTCAATAACGATGTACCCAGGTACGATATCTAGATTTGTAGGCGATCCTTGTCACTTAAATCTTCGTATACCTACATAATACGCAATGAATTATTCTGCCCGACCCACCTTTCAATTTGCCCTCTCCCAAACTACCTATCATGGCGGATGAGATTAAGTTACCTGTCGTATAGAACGCATATACGTGTTAATTTCAAACCCTAATTGATATACACTAAAGCTGGTTTTGTATTGACCGCAAGTTTATTTCGAGCCCTGAGGAAAATATGCAGTAAGTTTGTTTTATTTTTTATTTTATAAATACTGCTGATGGCTGCAAAAATTAACAAAGATAAATTAACTAAGCTATAGGTACTATACTGTATACATAACATTTATAATTTTACTTTTTAATATTTAACTCACAAAGTACACTATTATTTTTCACAAAATAAATGATACTGCTAACTTAGTAATAAGTTTGATCCGACAGACAAACTATGTATAGGTATAATTTTGTCGGACACTTTTTTACATCGTAAAACTTAAAATGTACCTTTGTAATGAATAAATAAATAAATACTACTACTACAGCTAAACTAAAAAAGAAGGTTGGAAATAAAAAAAATGAATGCATTTAGGTACTGTAAATTAAGACTTTCTCACGTGAAGTAATGAAAGAATAAATGCTTATGAATATGAGTCCCATTGAGACTTGAAACTAGTAGAGCTTTTCTCAATTAATGGACATGAGTAAGCCATTATTTTCAACATTTTTTTATGGCTAAAATCTATGCTTTTATTAAAAAGAATAAGAAAAATAATTACACAATTAATTAGAGAAACTGAGAATAACAAATTCAAACGAAGTTTTCTAGATTGTTATACAGTTCATCAAAATATAGGTGTATGTACATATTGTTCTAACAGACATAATATTTTAACGAACAAAACTTTTTCATGAAATAACTATGCGAAAAAATGTTTGTTATCAAAACGAAAACTGAACATTTTGAACACACGTAGAATAATTTAGTTCAGTTAAAACTAGGTTAGCTATTATTCAAAAACTGCATAGTTTTTAACCCGAAAAAGTTTCGTGTTGCTTCCATTGAAATTGTTGGGCGCAACATTTCTATTTGAACAGGACGGGTAAAAAATGATTGTTATGTTGTTGCAATGTGTGTACGACACGTATTCTGGAATCTCTCAGCGCGAAATTCTAATATACTCGTGAAGTTGGTTCAAATTTTTGCACTTTAATACGAACACAGTGAAGAAAAAGTCTCACAAAACTATGATTGGTGTAATTCTTATGTATATTAAGTCGAGTTGTATATAAAAACTAATCACATTTTGATTAATTGATTTAACGATTTACGTTTTATTTAATTTTTGTATTCTTCTGCCTTATTTTTAAGAAATTTGTTAGAGATGTTTAACTTTGCATTTTATTGGTTGCCTAAAAATAAAGTTATGCAAAATTTAATTATATTCTCATACTTAAGAAGTCTAAATTCCCACTGTTCGGTTTCCACTGGTCATTGCATGATGTAATATGACCTTCCTCAATAAATCTATACTATAATATTTAATATTATAAATGCGAAAGTAACTCCTTCTGTCTGTCTGTCTGTCTTTTCGTCACACCTAAACTACTGAACCGATTTCTGGGTAATTTGGTACAGAGATAGTTTGGAACTCGGGAAAGGACATAGGATAGTTTTTATACCAAAAATCTGTTATTATTAAAACTGGTTAATAATTAAATAAGAAGAATTGTTACATTTGAAATAATAGTTCCTAAACTAAACTTAACTCGTAACGTACAATTAACTGTTATTGAAGGTTCTATTTAATATTTTGTCTAAAACATAAGTTTTTGTATTTTTTAAGTCCGTTTGCATTTTAATTCTTATTTAATATTTCATTTGTTAAGCAGGGAAACCTATTATTGGCTATTATATCAAATGTATATATCAAATGTAACGCTGTTTGTTTTCTAAATAAATAAAAATAGTTTGTTTGTTTAAAACAAATTAACTCTTCAGCGTTTCAATATATTTAAGTACATATAGTAAACAACACATGTTGATTTTTTCATAGAAGAGAAGGCTTCTTTACTCTTTGTGTGGATGCTAGCATAAGATTGAGGAGCTTATAAAACCTAACAATAGATCAACGTGTGGGTTGTTTAACACTCAATCTATTCTCAGCTCACTTTAGTTTAATATAGAAAATAGAAGAATGTATACATTTAATATTTCCATACTAAACCTTTGAATTGAATTAAAAATAACCTGAATATGATAAATGAAGATTGGTTTTTGACAATATGGCGGAAATTTTATGTCGATTGTGGCAAATTAATAAATTTAGAAAACCTAAGGTAACATAATACTTTTATTATACTGTCGAATTTTAGCAGAGATGTAATGTTAATATAATACGCCTTGGTGGCCCGACATGAAGGAGGTTTGAGCATTAATCACTACGCTAGCTCAAGTCGTAATTGGTGATTTCAATCTTGTAGTCAGAAATTGTAAGTTTAAATTTCCTTACCATGTTTTTCTTCACCATTGTTGACGTTTTTCAATGGTATCAAAATTATCTTTGAAAGTTACGTTTACGTTTTTAAATTACGTTTCACGCTCAAGCATGAGAAGCGGGCGCATTCACCAGGGCACCACGACGTCAAGACCAAGACATTTTCAAGTCAAGGTTAAGTAAGATACAAAAAATAGAAAGATTAAATTCAGTGTTCAAAAATATTGGAAGAACAGCTTGATATCTTGTTTCACACATGAATACAACATATTTCTTAACTTCTTTTCTTATCCTTCTTACCAGATTGCCTGATTAGATTGGTTGGTTGACAGATTTATGGGACTTATCAGTCTCAGTATTTGTCAAACTGATCGCCATCGTAAATCCTGCTTTACAAGAGGTAGAATGGACAGTTGCCAAGCCATTATATACTCAATAGTGTCTTAATTATTTAGGTATATGTTTAGACAAAACAACTTATTGTTGGGGAACCGTACTTTGGCAGGAATCGACCAGCTTGCCGAAGTGATGGTCTTACAGAAAATCGGCGAAAATAAATCTTGTGTTTGGTTTCGCCGTGTGAGTGAGACGACAGGCCCATTCCCATCCTCAACACACCTATACACAAAACATCAACGTTCCTATCGCTAATTTTGAAAGGTTGGCTAGGCTTTTTAAACTCGAGATCTTTCAGCTTCAGATCTTTCTGACCTTGAGATCTTTCAGCAGTCAGTCTTGCAACAACTTTCTTATGGGCTGATTTCTGTATCTAGATATCTAGTTAGCAGACTCGAGTAAAAATTTTGATTCATTTTGTATGAAGCTTTTGTCTAATGGCTTAATAAGACTAATGGCGTAAGGTTAAAATGATATGTGCCAAAAATATCTTTGTCATTTTGCTCTAAACATAACCCTCCTAAAAGTCTCACATGAATGTCTACGAACAAAATACTCTGATCGCGTCGTCCGCAAACAGATTAACGATACCAGTACATTCTAGAGCTCATAATAATCAAGTAAATTACTCAGTGGCCTTCTCATAATGTAGAAAGGTTCTATGCAAACATTTAAATTTTAATCATGTTTATTTAGGATCCCATTTCTTGTTTAGTGTAAAATTAACGGGAATATGTTTGTTTTAGTAATAACAATATGTTAATTAATTGAACGATGAGCCTAATTTTATAGGCTTCCACTTAATGAAGAGGGCTAACCTTTTTTTTTGGGGTTTAGTTGAAATTTGTTTTTAGGTCTTGGGTTATTTGTAAACATTTGTGGAGAAGAGATTCTGGTGCAGTTTCATTTAAATTAATGAGGGCTACATTTGTTTTGGAATAATTGGATTTTCAAATACAAGTTGGTGTAACCGTTGATATCACGGTGCCTTAGAGATTAGGGCGTTTGCTTATCTCGCATCTATATATCTATTATCCACAAAAAATATCTCCTCAGTTACCTCTTTGACGAATATCTGTCGAGATATAAGTACTTCAGGTCATAAAACACCAGCAACCCTTATATTCCTCCAGTCTAAGCTCATAAACATGATTCTATGTGGCTTTAATTAAGGCACTGTTTAACCGCAAATTTTGTGACCGAAAAGCCGGTTTTGCGATGTACTACTATTGACACGTACTAGTTATTCACGCGGTAACGAGCGAAACGGAATGTTTAATGGTGGAAACTTGGTGCAGAGAAATTTAGACTTTATTGACATTGCACTAGTCATCTCGTTTGGCTGAAATTTCAAGCTTGTTTTATGAGTTTGAATTGGTCTGCCGCATGTTGTTAATTCTTTGACATTGAAGACAGCAATTGTTGCAGTAAGATCTACATTTCGCTGTTACTAAAACTGTTATCTGATTTTTTTCTCTGTGATCTAGTTATATTGTAACTCGAATCGAACTCTTTCTATTTTGTTGTTGAGTAACTTGAAGGAATATTTTCTTCTTTTTAATTCCTACATCATACGCTTACTCTCTACATACACGAACTCATCAATCGGCAAAATTCTTGGTCTTCAAACATCTAAGAATTTAATGTAGGTAAGTTCCAATCGTACTATTTATCAAGAGATTAAAACCAGACGCTTGGAACGTTTATACCGCCATTCATTCAGTAAAGTTGAACTGGCCACAATGTGCAAGCCCCATATCTCCCGATGCAGAAACCCTCAAAAGTCGAGACCTGGCTGTCTGCCAAGTGGCCCGCGTTAAGATACGAACCACTTCGAGTGGCTAATCCCGGCTTATTGCTGATATAGAGTAAGTCATGCGTTATTTTAGGATAAAACCTCCAGCTAATTACTGGAAACCATTTTTAAATGTCCACTAAGGAATTTTAAAATGGTCTTTAATTTATACAAGTTGCTACTATTTTGTAAGGAGTGCATAATACTTAAGAGAGCTAACAGTAAGTGTAATAAGCACTTGTACAAATTCCTCCGACGAGACGATTGGAAGTAGACTTTGCAAGAGTTTCTTTTGTATTATTTTAATCGCTTAAAAACAATTCGAGTTCCTATTAGAGATTCTTTATCGATTGCACAACATTCGTTTTAGCGATAATTTAAATTTAATCAGCAAATCTCAAGCAAATGTGTTTCTGATCATCAAAATAATTTTATCTAGGTCTATTATCGATTGTTATCTGATTAAATATTATAATTATAAATTTTGTATAAATCAAGTCGTTTTGTATGATTATTCTGTGATGTAGTGCTGTGATTTAAAAAAGTGTAACCTAAAAATGTTTTCCAAAATTGTTGTCTTTTCTATTTATATTATTATATGTGCTCAAATTACATTCGGATATGACTTGAACATATTGCATTACAACGACTTTCACGCCAGGTATGTGTTCTTTTGGTTTTATCACTGTTTTTTTTCTAAATTAGGCATACAGCTTACCTGACATAGTGCATTGCTGTAGTCCTTTTGGAGATAAGGGGTTATGGGTATTTAAGGATTGGGGAGGGGTAGAAAGAGGTGAAGGATTAGTTCTCCCTATTAAGACGAAGAAACATAACACTGTAGTAATTGTTTCACGCGGGTTTTCTGTGAGGCCGTGGTATCAGTCCGATCAAACCGACTTATTCATCCCGAAGCGTGGCTCTAAACTACCTATTCCAGTCTGGGAATTTAAATAGATAGTTTTTAGAGTTTTTGGTCTCATGAATCGTGTTATTGAAAAGAAAATTTAATATTACATCAGCTACATCTAAGTATGAGTTAGTTCATTTATCAAGAAAAACATTATTGCCTAGTTAAAATTTGGTATTTGCTGATAATTTCTAGGTAGAAGTTAAAATAAAGGGGTTTCAATTCAGACAAGTTCGATAAGCGATAAGTAATTTCATATTGTTATAATAAATTCATTTCCTGGAAAATGTCTTACTCAGAATTAATATAACGTCACAGAGTATTTCACGGAGCATAGTAAACGTCATAATTTGAAAAGGTATTCGTAGAAATTGGACGGGCTAACAACAATTCCATAGAATGAATAGCAGGATTCAACAAATTCAACCATGCGTTTGTCAGTTCAGTAGTTAGACAGCCGAATGATTTCTCATTTAAAAAAATAGGATCGAATAATTTGGAACCTTTGATAAATATTCAGTTTTAGCTCATAGTCAACGTCAAATGATAAAAGATATATCGCCTATATACCACAGGGAGTGCTCCGAGGAATAGTTCGGTTTGATCCCACCCGTATGTTTTCGCCATTGACTCGTTCGAAAACATTATCATAACCATCATATTATATGAGGAGATCGTCAACTTTCTGCCTCGCAGAACAAAAATTTGGAATGATCTTTCAGCAGCGGTATTTCTGAGCCGATACAATTTTTTAAAAGGCCGGCAACGCGCCTTCGACTTCTCTGGTTTTCCAGAGCGTTACTGTGCATGTGCGGCGTTGATCACTTACCATCAGGTGATCCGATTGTTCGTTTGCCTCCGATTCCATAAAAATGCTCCTAGCTGTTAAGCCGAAGTTGGTGGTGCAAGCGCAATAATGTACTACGTGAAACTGAGCAGTAGACGTAACCAGGTAGTTTTTAGTCAGTTAGAACTTGACATTTGTCGTCATCACACTCATACATATTTTCCAGATTTGTGGAGACCAGTCGATTAGGGACTCCTTGCAGTCAGAATGATACTTGCATCGGTGGTTTCGCTCGGCTCGCAACCTTAGTTCGACAGCGCTTAGTCGAAGAACCGGACTCTCTACTCCTCAATGCTGGTGACAGTTTCCAAGGAACTCTTTGGTACAACATCTTACGGTGGAATGTTACTCAGGACTTTATGAATATGCTGCCTCATGATGCTCATGTAGGTTTGTTGTTACAATTTTAGTTTGTTTATTGACACTGTTGTACTTACACTATTTCTTTGATGGAAGAGAAAACATGGCGTTCTAATATAAATCTTATTATAATAATTATTATTAATTTTTACAATGCGTATACATCATTACTCCATATATCAACACGCTGTAAGGTTCCATTGCTGAGCAAAGGCTTCTTTTCACTCAGAAGAGGTATGAATATTAATCAACGAGCTTGCTCATGACGGATTAGTGCTTTAAGGTTAAATTGAATATGATTGAAGTTTTCACGATAGCTATTATGAATACTCCACAGGTACTGGGTAACCACGAGTTTGACAATGGTATCGAAGGAGTGGTTCCTTATTTAAAACATTTGAATTCAAAAGTTGTGACAGCCAATATAATTGATGATCTAGAACCAACAATGCAAGGTTTGTATGAAAAGAGTATAATTGTAACAAGAAAAAATAGGAGAATTGGAATTATTGGAGTTTTAATAGCGACTACAGATGTAAGTATTTCTGACTCACAAGTTTATGTAAAATGGTGTCAAATTACTAATGAAATGTTAATTTGTTTAGATTTTAGCTTCAACTGGTAGACTCAAATTTACAGACGAGATAGAAGCTGTGAAAGAAGAAGCTGAAAAATTAAACGCGCAAGGCGTAGATATCATCATAGTTTTATCACATTGCGGTCTAGATATTGACAGGTTAACGAATTTTAATAAAAATACCTTAACTGAATTTTGAGTAACTTACTAGAGGTCAACAACATACTTATATATATTTGATTGTCGTCTACGGTTCTTTCGATATTTTAATCCAAGATCCAATACATATATCTGTCGCAGTCTTTCATTGAATTTTTGATATAATTTTGATTGAATTGTATAAGAACTAGTAGTACTACTTCGTTCATTAAATTTTTATTGAATGAATTGATCAACGCCCAATTCTCGTTTGTTGACCTACAACATAAAAAAAACAATTTTCAGCTAACTGACTGTGACTTATACATACCTACTGAGAAAATCGATCGGCCACCAATATATGTATATTTGTATTACTACTAAAATCTTTAATAACAAACCACTCATGGTGAACTTTAGATGCTTCTTGTAATCGATTTTATAATTGCTCCATTGTTATTTCTAGAGAAATCGCCCTTCACGCTGGACCACACATAGATATTATAGTTGGCGGCCACAGTCACACGTTGCTGTTCAATGGAGAAGCGCCCGAGAACAGTGCGTTCATTCCATTGGGACCTTACCCAGTGGTAGTGGAACAAGAAAACAGAAAGGTAGGAGTGTATTCAATTATTACGATATGACTTACAGTAACATTTAGTCAAACAACATCTCAGAAATAACTGCTTTGGCTAATTCAACGATTAAACTGGAGATGATGGGTTTAGTGGATGCATTTGCTACTATTTAATGCTTGAAAGAATAAGATGGAAAGCCCTCGTAAAACAAAACGAATTGCGTTAGTTATAAGGCCCGCTGTTGAGTGCGACATTTTGCGACGTTGATTTTTGTCGCCAGCATTTGTGTAATGAATTCCAAATTAAATAAGTAGGAAAAAAGTCAAGTCACTAGTAAGTAGACATCCAAAGCAAAATGCACATTCATATTAGCGGGCAGTCACGCTGCAAATATTAGTCACCTTATTGACAAATCACAGTGATCGCACCATTCCATATCTTCATATATCACAATCAGCAGTGAGCGTAAGCGTATATTTTTAAATTTTCAGGTTTTAATAGTACAAGCAGCGGCACATACTCAATATTTGGGAGAAATTAAGCTAACCTTTGATGATAATGGACATCTCAGACATTGGACTGGAGACCCTCACTATATTGGAAATGAAATCGAACAAGGTATATCGAATTCAACCATTAGCCACTAGCTTGCCAAGCTTGAATAGCGGCCTAAAAAAACGACAGGACAAAATAAGATTGTTTCAATCTTTCTAAATATTATAAACAATGTTTAATATCCGAAAATTTGTACGTTTATATAGATAAATAGATGTTTGTAACTTGTATCTAACATTTCCAACAAAAATCTATTAATTTTCTTATTATCAATTTTACTTCCAGCACGAGACGTGTTAGACAAGATAGAGAAATACCTCCCACTGATTGAAGACAAAGCTTCTGAAGAAATCGGTTCAGCTCTGGTGGAACTATCAGCTGATTGCGCTTGCTCAGAATGCAATCTTGGAAACTTTATGTGTGATGCTTTTATGCATGCAGTAAGTTTTGTAGCATTTACTATGAAATTTTAAAATTTTTCAATTTCTTAGCTTAGTCTGACACTCGTTGTGTTTCGCCATCGGAGTGAAATTACCGGAGTCCCCAATCTCTCCCCAATCCCTAAATCTCCAAATCCTCAAAAAGTCGGTACCACACTCGTAACTCTAATGCGGGTGTCCATCGAAGGCGCTGATTGCTTACCATCAAGTAATCCGCGTGCTCGTTTGCTGACGTATTACATAAAAAAGTCTGTTTTACTTTGCATCATTCAGATACGTGACATTCATTGCTAATCGCTGGACTTCTCCAACGACTTCTAGATGTCCCAATTTAAAGCGACCAGCATTAAGCGGTTTCTTTGCGTCTTTAATAAATTCATTGGCATGATTAATTGTGTAAACTGCGGATGGTTTTTTTTGATAACGAAATAACATGCCTTTACAATAGAATTTTGTTTTTTTTTCCAGACAATACCCCGAGCTGGACCGAACCAGTGGAATTACGCACATTTCTGTGTCAATAATCGAGGAGTTATTAGAGCAGCTATTGATAGCGGAGGTAAGATAGTTTTATTTGCATTTTCCTTTATCGAGACTCTTGTTATTTTTAGAAGGTGTGCGTTTGTGCACTCAAATTCATCCATATCGTGTTCCATTTGACATCTTTAAATGATATTAGTTTTGTTTTCTTCTCGTTCTGATTTTATATGTTTTTGTGCTATTGAGTTTTACCTGAATAAAATAGACGAATTTACTTTTTATAAGACATTTTGCAATTAGCAATATTTAACCTCCCCTACTCAGGTGAGCAAAATTCAAAGTTTTTTGGCAATGCCACAACACAGGAGAAAAGTATTTTGGGTGGTTCTTGAGTTATGAAAAAAAAATCTCTTTACAGTAATAACTTACGAAGGAATAATAGTGGCCAGTCCGTTTGAGAACAACGTTGAAGTTTTTGATTTAAAAGGCGAACATATTATGGAAATGTTGGAATTTTCTGTGGAAAATCAACAGCGGCCGGGCGCGCGGTTGTTGCAGGTTGCAGGTAATGATTTCAATTAATCTAATTGGGATATGTTATACCTTTTTTATACTTACTATTTTGATTGATTAAGCTATCGTGACCATCAGAATTGATTATAGTATGATCAGATTCAAGTCTTGGAGCAAGATAATCTGATCCGGTTTTATATTTTTTTAAGATTTTTGCTGGTCATCGTTTAGGAATGACATCGCTCAGCAACAGATGGCTCGAGCAAAATATCATAGCTATAAGCATTTTTGCTTTGTACACATTTGTTTTTCTTACCCTTTTCACTTATTGGTTTTATATCACAGGATTGCGTGTAACATTTGATGGCTCACGACCAGTAAACTCAAGAGTGGTGGATGTGCAAGTTAGATGTATTGAGTGTGATGTCCCTAGGTATGAGCCACTAAAGCTCGACCAATACTATAAGGTCGTGTCACAGTCTTTCATTGCAAATGGCGGAGATGGTTATAATGTAAGTAGCACTTGATAAAATATACTTATTGACTTATTTACTACTTCCACGTGAACAACAGTTGCCAGTGCGTAGTTAACACTTATAATCCTATACTTGTAATCCTTAACGCAACTTGAAATCAGTTTAGTTTTCTCACTAAACTGTTACATAAATAAACCAATAAACACATTTTATTAATTTTATATTTTTGTCCCAGAAAGATATCATTATAAAGTATAAGGCTTTTTCTTACCCTGTATCCCTCTTTAAGTACTTAACGGATTTTAATGCGGTTTTTAGCAGATAAACAGTGGAGAAATTTAGTATCAGCTTGATAAGAGCTAAGATTAAAGTTTAGTATGAGCTTTGCACCAGATTGATGCCAGACCCTTGTACAATAATAAATTGTCACGTTTTAGATGACAAGCATTTAGAGTTCATTTATTAATGAATGAATTTGAGACATTTATTTATAATTCCACTTTTGATTAATTTCAGATGATCAGTGAGAATCGTAAAAACATTGAAGTCCTGGGTGTTGACTACGATGTTCTATCTTCTTACATAAGGCACCAATCTCCAGTCTTTGCCGAAAACGAAGGTCGATTGACGTTTAACAATTTCTGCCAGCCACTGTAAACTATTCTTAAACCTATTATTTTTTGTTAATAAACTGTTTTATCGAGTTCAATTCATTTTATTTTTTTTTGTAAAATAACAACAAATTTTATTTTTAAGTTTTTGAAATCAAGACACATCTAATTTTATTGACACACTGTACTAAAATTTAAATGTAACAAATCCGAATCAATTCGAGCTAATAGAGTAGATAAGTAGCATAAGGATCGATTATTTCGTTTATTCAAATAAATGGGATATGAAAACCTCCCACATCAGAAAAGTTAGGAGTGCCTTGCCGGCCTTATGGAGTTAAGAGATTTCGGACACAGAGAAAGAGGATGGAAGGGGGAGAATAAAGATCGGGCCTCCGGCAACCTCATTTACACGGCGAAACAAAACGCTGTGGTTGTTTTACGCCGGTTTTCTGCGAGTCCATGGCATTGTTCTGGTCGAACCAACCTATTCGTGGCAAAGATTGGCTTTCCCACACTTCAAATTTTCTTTTGGTACCTACATACATTACACTAGATATACACTTTAATGATTTAATGAAGATAAATCAAACTGTTCGCTCTCATATCAATTACATATTAAAAGTAGGTCTGGTTAGTGAATATCAAACAACCGTAATAATTTGTTAATCAAGTTTATATGTCTATAGAAATAAACAGTAAAAATGTGTCGTTTGTACATATAGTACTCTAGACTGACATTTTTAGAGGGGCTGTTTGTTCACGTTTATCTCAGAAATTACAGAACAGATTTACTTGAAACTTCCACTATTTGCTTTGTTTTAAGTCAGAACAACATCTAAACTATGTTTCATCAAAATCGGTTCATTAAAAAAGTTATCGTCATGTTAACGAACTCAAGGCATGATAATATTGCAAATCATAATAATACGCTATTCATAAATACATGGGACCTGTCAAATCTAAAGACAATTCATTAACATTAACAATAACAATCCATACTAATATTATAAATGCGAAAGTATCTGTCTGTTCGACTTTCATGACAAAACAACTAAACCGATTGTAATATTTGGTACATGGTACACAGATCATCTAGAGCCTGAGAAAGGACATAGACTATATAACTTTCAGCTACGACCAACGGAAGCAGAGCGGTAATAAAAAAAATTGCGAAAACGACAGAAAACACGACAATACTATTGCTTCTATTATTTTTATATCAAATGAGTTTTTGGAATGGACTATAGCTTTTTAGCGTAAAAATAATCAGTGTAAATTTGTATTCTGCGACTAGGCTACACAAGGTATTCGTATAAGTAGAGAAAAGTTATTTGAGCTATACGGCCTGAAACATTTTAACAATCGTAGTAGCGAGGCTTTTTGCAGACGTGTTTCCAAATATTAAAAATAATTAAATTAGTTTGTAAGCATGCTAAATCGCTCCACATTAGCAGTAAAATCAGGACCAAAAAAAATGGAACCTACCTGGACTAAAATTAATGACGAAATAGGTAGAAACAAATCACACAATACTGAATGTTTGCGCGCCTGATGGTTTTTTCAGAGCATCTTAAGATAAGAGATTATCTCAAGCTTACGAAAAGTATAAATTATGAAGAATTCTGAAATTTACCCCACTTGCCTTATACATGTAGTTAGCTACAGTAATCCCCAGATTACTGTAGACGACAAGCTGCAATCGGGGTCACACATTAGATCTCTAGCAGGACGATTGAGCTCTGCAGTTTATGCTGCCTGGAAGATCCGTCAGCTACCTGACGTAGACACGGCAAGACTGGTCAACATTACAAGATCAACATTATGACCGTACCAAGTTAATTTATTTATGAAAACATTAAATATCTTAGGAAAAACCTACAGTTATTTGTTAAAGTATCTGACAAGCATGACTATCACACTAGACATAGGAATAGATTTAGTCAGCCTATATTTAGATTAGCAAAAGTGCATAAGTCATTCCTGGGATTTTGTGTTAAATGTTATAACAAAATTCCAGTTGAAATAAAAAATCTAAATGAAAGAAAATTTAAATTAAGTATAAAGAAAACTTTATGTAGATAAGCATACTGCTAACTAAATGATTATATACAAGATATAAATGCTTGGAGGCTAGCTGGTCTTACTCCACAGGATGTTAAGAGGATTTTTTGATTTTAATCATTAAATTCTACACCATGTTGTTAATTGTTGATGAACTTCAAAGTTTTTGTAAATGGAAGTGATAGGGCACTTACTTACAAAAACTTTGAAGTACCTATTATAATTAAAATAGACTTGTAGAATATAGGTACTTGTGTCAGCTGGGAGTTGTCATGCTCACTCAGAGGTCTCATTGGCAGTGGCACGGGCACTGGATCGCTCGATTCCCTATTTGGTTGAGTTGGGCGGTGCTGGTGTACGTGTCATGTTCGTGAACGGGTGCCGCCTACTAGGACTGGTCAACTCGAGACTGTCTAAATATGTTGTCCTTAAGGTTATCTTCTTTTTCGCATTCTTTGCCTAAGCATTAGTGTTACACTGTTTTACATATCAGAACCGACTAAATGATGTAACAAAGAAATGAATTGTAAAACTGTTTGAAAAAGAGTAACCATGGAGTTTCTTGTCTACAACACAATCTACACTTTAAAACGAACTATAGCTTCACTAGAGGACAGACCGACTGTCACGCATAAAGTTAAACCTCTTGAATTTTTTTTTCTTTTTTTGCATAACGTTTAATACTTGACTTTGATAAATTTTGCATTTTAGAGAACGTCAATTAAGCGTCCGGTTTAAAAGATACTGTTTTGTACGTATAGATAATATTTTCTCTGGAATACCAGAACCTAGGCTACCTACCATGACCCTTGCAATTTTCTGTGCTTTTTTTATTTTTGTAGGGGGAGATTCATCCAATGTCTTCTCTCACCCAAGGTGAGGCGACAGGCAGTATCAGACTCCTACCGACTAAAAACGCTCCTATTGCGCTCACTCGGCTGAACATCGGCCCTATAAGAGCCCTGGGGTGTGATTCTGTAAGACTTCATTCTAAACTTCGAATCTGAATCCGCTGTGAGTTAGTACACTAGCGCTACACTTGTGAGTTGAACTAAATTGACAGCAACATTTTGATAGATAAAGTATGAGATGACGTTAAAAGTGACATTCAAAAATTTAATTACCCCGTCACTTCGACACTCACTTCGCACTCGAACAAGATTCAAAATCAAACAAATTTTATAGAATCGACGTGCTGTCTGTGGTGGTCTATTTGCTTTAAGTACGCTTAGGTCTGGGTCTGCGTGAGGAGGATAGTTCTCTCACGTGCTCCGCCTCAGGAGACAGCTTCCCAATCTCTCTCGGTCTGCACTATGGCCTCGACTGAGGCTGAGTGCGAGTGATCGCCGCCGCCGACCACTTCCCTGAGGACACGGCGCGGAGATGCTCAGCCCAAGCAGGGCACACTGCTATTGTATGCTCTACTCGTGTGCTCTACGCGGTCCTCATAATTAAAACACACGGGCGTTATCTCCCGCCGGATCCGAAACAGCAGCAACGACCTTTAGGTACTGTGATAATTTTTCGTTTGGATATGGTTGGTTTTATTGTTCTGGGGCGTTGGAAAACTCGAACGATAGTTTCGGTTTTAATATTCCGAAACTTATTTGTCTCGAACATAATAGTCCATTTAAGAACGGGCGTCGAGCTACCCTTTCTCGCCGACTGCAGACCCATGCTTAAGGTGCCTAGAGATTGTCGCTCGATCCCCGACGCTGTCGATTCGATTGTGTCGCTCGGATTGTCAGTTTAGGAAAATAAATACCTCACGCACTCCGCCTCCTTTTTTGCGAACATCACTGCTTCGCATAAAGCGGATATGGCTTTCCAATTCCTCTCGCTCTGCACCAGGGCCTCAACTAAGACTGGTCGTGGGAGGTCGCCAGTAGTCAAGAATCTGAAGAGTTGATTTAGACCCGTTTGACTTTAGATGACAAACGCCGCAAATCTTAAAGAGCAGTTGAGACTAAATAGCAATAAGATGCTTAACGTCACGTAGTTCAAATCAAAGTCGAGAGAAAGAGACCTTGATTCAAATTTAAGCATGGCGACGATTAGCCGCTTATCGTCACGCAGCTCTTAAAGATGTAGAGACGTTAGGGCAAAGTGCGGATCTGCAAACAAATATGTGAAAGACTAATGAAATAGTAAAATAAATGAACAAAACATGTTAAACGTTAAGGAAAATACTGTTGAATACCTCTCAGTGGATCATATTATGAACGCTCAGCAACTTACATCATAGAATTTCTCAACTTTTTAGAATTATCAGGAATGCCATCTCATAGGTTGATACTAAAAGTTCTTGTTCCATTTGCTGTGTAATGGTACTCAAATGGTGGTGGTGGTGGTGCCGTGGCGAAGGCAGCGAGGCGGTCGACATCAGAATCTGCTGGCGTGTCGACAAGGTAGGACGACGAGTTCCGCGTCATTTGTGCGGCGAAGCAGCGCTAAACTATTATAAAGAACTTATATCAAAACATTACTAATAAGAGCCTATCTCTATTAGGAACTATTAACTTCAACATAATAAACCTATATAAATTAATACAAATTTATTTATATACAAGGGCTATGCCACGATCGCTACGTCATATACGTGCAACTATCCAAAGCAAATAATTAAAAGTATGATTTTTGATGTTTCTTTTCTTTGCTAAGCTTTAAAACTCGGTAAAATTATCGTTGCCATAGACCTTATATATCTTTATAATCCTACTCATTTTATAAATGCGAAAATTTTTGAAGATGATTGAATGTTTGTTGCCCATGTTAGAACTACTTGATAGATTTTGAGGAACCCTTGCAGTAATGTAGGCATTTATCTTGGAGTTCCCACGGAAACAGGAACCACCGCGCGCTGTAAACTGACTCCCACGAAACTGACTGAATTCCACGCGGACTGAGTCGCGGGCAGCAGCTAGTAAAATAATATTTACATATTTCTTGAGGGTCATTACCCTCAAGAAATATGTAGCTACAGCTTTTAATAACTTTTTGATTAACATAATAAAACTGATTCCAGAATCAATAACTAATGTGACCACAAATATTGTAGTATGTTATGTTTTGGACATTGTTGTATTATTTGACAGTTTTTTTATCATTTTTGACATTACTATTATTTAATTGTGAGTTTAAAATGTGAATGTGACAAATTTATATTTATGACAAATTAGCATTTTTTTTCAATTTATGTGAGTCGTAGCATTGTTAAATATATTTAATTCAAATAATGTTAAAAATGGATTGGTTATATAATCAGACAATTAATATAGACAAAATAGTAAGTCCAGTCCAGTCCAAGATCCTAATTGTAAAAATTAATATTTGTAAACCTTATCAGGTAAAACATGTGTATGGACTGACTGATCTTATCTCATCTTATCATACATATTACCTAACTGGGTAATTACTAGGGATGTCAAAGTAAACTAGCAACACCGACCGATGTTTGTTAAGGTTTTGTGTTCCAAGAATTCATTAAAAATAATTACTTACGTAAATAATATCCAAATAGATTGATTTCTATCAAATCCAGAAAGATTAATGTCCAGTTTAAGAACCTAATTGTAAAAAATAATTTCTGTACACCTTACATATAAGGACTGACTGATTTTTATGAGGTCTTACGCTCAAATTTGGATATAAACACATATTTTGTGATAAATAAACATATCTTATTCCATCTTATCATTCATATTACCTAACTGGGTAATTACCAGGGACCAACACTGACCGATGTTTGTTAAGGTTTTGAGTTCCAAGGATTCACTAAAAATAATTACATAAAATAGTATCCAGATTATTTGCTCGATTTTTTCACTTTTACTCGTAGTATGTCAGTTCCATTGTATCTTATAATCTACTTAAGACAATTTAATTTACTTGACAAAGCGTAATGTAACTAATCTAAATAAATCTAGGGCGGATCCAGAAAAAGGTGACAACAATATGTTATTAAAAATACCTACATCGATTTCTTTGATTTGGTGAAACAAAGCATTAGCGTAAGCTGATGAATATTTAGACTGCACGGTTGGCGCGGTGGCTGGGCAACTGGCTGCCGTGCAACGTGTCGCGGGTTCGATTGCCGCACGGAACAACTCTTTTTGTAATCCAAAAATTGTTGTTCCTGGTGTGGTTTTAATAAAAATAGCTGATCAGATTTAATAAATAGAAAATTACAGAAACACGCTTGTAATATTACACACTATGTAATAAAGGTAACCAAAATTCTTTTTATAAAAATGAATCCCAATTTCCTTGATTAAATAGACTGATGCCGTAATTTTTCAAAAATCAGGAGATGGCTGTTGATGGATGTTGATTCTTTTCAAAAGAAGAGGATTCAGGAAAACATCTAGACATATCAACCTTTGCAGTGCCGACACCTAGGTAGTAAGATATCCGTGTGAAGCAAAAGCGATCCGATGTTTTTTTTGTGAGGGGAAAATCATCAAATGACTTCTCTCGGACTTTCGACCGAATGTCGCCTATTGCGGCGGCTGGGGCGTGAGGAGGAGGATTGCTCCCTCACGCGGGCCGCCTCCCTCTTTGCGAGCATAACTACTTCACAGAAGGAAGCGATCCGATGGTAGCAGAATAAAAACCAGTATTTTTTTATAACAATTGAACTAGTACCCACAAAAAAGGTTTTTTTTTTTATTTCGAACCACACTTTCATGTACTGTTATTAATTTCAACATCAAGTCTAATCGTCGATGAAGAGAACTATTTGTGACTGATTGTAATTATTTAATGGAGAGGCCAAAACGTACTATGCTTTTGTTTAAAAATATATTTAAACTATTTGAATATATTTAAAAAAAAACGGTAATTTCTTAATTTTGTGAGTTAGCGACTGTAACAACAAATCTAGACTTGATGTAACCAAAATAAGTTTGGTGATAAAATGAGGGTAGATAGCTTATTTTAAATTAGCAAGTATTGTCCTTGTTACAAATTTGTTGATCAGTATTATAAAGCCACAAATTGACAGATTGAAATCATCCTGTTCACGGCCTTTTCACGAGCATCCGAAGTGAAAATTAAGTTCTGAGATGGTCAAACACAAATAAAAGCCAGAAGCATTTAACTGCTATTAAGTGTAGTAATATCGTCTAGCTGCTTTTTAGCAATTTATATTCATCTTCATCATCACCATCAGCCTATAAATGCCCACTGCTGTGCAAAGGCCTCTTCTCACACGGAGGAGGTTTGAGCATTAATCACCACGCTTGCTCAATGTGGATTGACGATTTCAAACTTACAATTAGAAATTATAAGTCCAGGTTTCCTCACGATGTTTACCTTCACCGTATGTCAGTGGTGTCTAAATAATCATAGAAAGTACATATAACTCGGAAAAAGTCACATAGGTACTTGCCAGGTTTCGAACCCAAACCCTCATGCACGAGAGGCGGGCTCCTTAACCTCCGGGCCACCACGACAATTGATATTTAGTCAATATTAATTTAAGGGTCGCTAACATTACTGCTCTCTAGTTTAGTTTTTCTTTGTATAACACAATACATGAAGATAGTTAAAGTCGCTCAGCTGCTTTTTAGTCAAGCATATGACGTACTTTTAGTTAAGTAAATTTCGAAAAAAATATACGTTAATTTGCAGTTTTTGGATATTAACGTCTTTTTAAACAAGTATTGTGGCTTAGCCGCTTTTTATTTAAGGAAGCAACGAAATGTATTTCAATGCTCAGCGATGTTCTGTATCTCACTATTAATCATAGAAAAATGATTCTTAACATATTCAGTGCCCCCGACGCACCTGTGCGTTCTATACATCCTGTGCGTTCAATACATTAATGTATAGAACGCACAGGTGCGTCGGGGGCACTGAATGTGTTTAACCAAAAGATAGAGCATCGAAAATTGTATAAAACATTAAAGAGTTAAAAACGACCAACTGTCGCTTAACGGCTTTTTAGATAATGGAAGGCAGTGATTTTATCATGTATTCCTTTAATCTTATCTGTCTATTTAAATGATGTGTTGAATAATTGCAATTAATTAGTCTAAGAACAATACTAGTGCAGCTAGTTTTGTTCAAAATGTCCCGGCTGGTGATATTTCTGTTTTCATTTTGTATTTTTTGTGGAGTTCGAAGTGCTTCAGGAGATTATGACCTGAATATTCTTCATTACAATGACTTCCATGCAAGGTATGTTATTGTCTTATGTTTTTAAATAATCTGACGAAAAAAATATTTTTAATACAGTTGCTCAAAAAGTGGCGTATTGCAGGGACGTGTAGCGTTTAGGATCTGGGCTTTTTCACACTCGCGCTTTTTAGCCTTTCCCGAACTCGTGAGTTTTCTTTCCCAACTGTCAAAATAATTTATATTAAAAAAAACAACCATGAAGTTTTAAATAAAAAAAAAATCATAGAAGTTTGTGCGATTCATGCAAATAGGTTTATTTGTTTCTAAAAAGAAGTTAGGTACTTATACTAATTTGTCCAATATCAGAATTAATTATTTGATTGAATGAGTTAGTTAAGGTTTCAGTTCATTTCATATCAATAAATTTCAATTTCATTTCTTATAATAAAAAATACTAAGTACTAAAGACTTGGCTGTATGGGCAGTTCCCTTTGCCTACCAGAATGGGTGAAAAAAACTGCTTACATTCTACGGTTGGAGCCGTTTTCCGAATAAATGATTAGTTAATTGAGTTTATTGATTATAATTTGATTAAAGAGATTATTTTTTTTCGCAACTGTATTAAAAATAGTCATTCAGTACAAGTACGGAACCGTCATTGCGACTCGTTCCGACTGTCAACCCTCACCTTCGGCTCGGTAGACATTTGTCGGAACTCTTTGCAAAACCATTCCTTACTAGTAATAAAATATACTATTATATACCGATTCTCGGCAATGGCTCCTGGGAATGGATGTTTATAACATTTAACATACTAAGATTTTCAAGGACGATAAATCGATCTAGCTTGGATTAATTTTCAGATAGAGCTTAAAAAAATAAAGAAGTAAACTGCACCGTATTTTATACTTAAAGTGTTCAATAAATCAATACATAGGTCTAATATAATTGTAAAAGGTCGGTGTCTGTACATGGAAGAAAAACTTTACTTGGGAACTTTATGTACGCAATAGAACTCAAAACAATTAATTTAACAATTTTTTTGTCTGTACGTTTGTTCCGGCTAATCTCAAAAAATGGGTAACCTAATTGAAAGTGGTTTTCATTATTGCGTTACTGTTTGTTGGGATTAACAATTATTAGTCTCCATATTGTTTAAATCGGTTCATAAATAAAAAAAGTTATGTCAATCTAAGGAATTGCATCACTATATCTAACTCAAACTGAAATTCCACAGTATTGTATTCATTCTTACCGTAATAAATAGTTTTATATTCAAGTCCGTTTTAACACCTACTATTTTTTAATTTTTTGAATAACTGAAATCAGTTCAAAAAATATTAATAAAATTTCTTCGTAGTTTCCGTTTAATTTAGCTAGATGGCGCTGTACCGTTTCACTACAATCCTAAATCGCGGTGTCCTAAAGATTTTTGTGAAAATAATGATCCTCCCAGAGAGCTTTCCTTCGTGCAGTATTAGTCGCGCGTGAGCGACCCCAGAAACTTGTATGGAATCAAATTCCAGAAGGCAATACAACTAATGTTGTACAAGAAGCATTGTTGTAATTTTTATCCTTATTAATATCCACTTACATACCCCCAACCAAGCAGATGAAGTCGCGGGCACAGCTGACTTTTTTTAAATGTACAGATTTGAACTCTTCACAGATTTATTATCAGTAACAGAAAAAGATTGCCAGGACGTTTTATGGCTCGGTAATATCGGTTTCCTCAAAATTTTGTGTTTATTTAATTTTAATCCAATGCTATAATTGTGAAAGTCGTTCTGTCTGTCTGTCTTTCCTTTCTTCCTTCACGCCTAAACTACTGAACCGATTTGGATAAAATTTGGTACAGACAGTTAGAAACTCGAGAAAGTACATAGGATAATTTTTATCCCGGGAATTCAAAAGAAGAACTTTCCGATATCTTTATGGTATTTATAGGTCTGCAAACGAGCCATCTGATTACCTGATAGTAGGCAATCAGCGCCGCTCATGGGCACCCGCAACACCAAAGGAGTTACGAGTGCGTTGCCGGCCTTTTAGTGATAAGGGTTTTGGATATTTGAGGATTGCGAAGGGACATGGGGACATATTGCTTTGTATTCATTAGCTTACGCTAATGCTTTTTATGCAAATCGAGTAAAAAGTCGATGTAGGTTAAAAAATGACTCTTTGTTAAGTAAATTAAATAAGCTTAAGTAGATTACAAGATACAATGGGACTGGCATATACTATGTATAAAAGTCTCTAAATATAAAGAAATAAGTCGAGAAAACAATGGAAATTTCAATTTGGATATTATTGCACGCAATTATTTTTAGTGAATTCTTGGAATACAAAACCTTAACAAACATCGGTCAGTGTTGGTCCCTGGTAATTACTCAGTTAGGTAATATGAATGATAAGATGGAATAAGATATATTTATTTATCACAAAACATGTGTTTACATCCAAAGTTGAGCGTGCAAGATCTTATAAAAATCTGTATAATCTTATAAAATTCTTATTAAATTAAACTGGACATTACTCCTTCTTTATGCGATAGGAATTAATCTATTTGGATATTATTTAAGTAATGTAAGAGGGTTATTATTCTGGTATCGTCACGCGTTCGTGAAGGAAAGCCAGGTCAATGTTGTCAACGTATATTTGGTAAAATAAAATAAAATAGGCGCAGTCTCACACAACCCTTTTTGCTTGTACGAAGGTGGCGAATGCAGTCCTCTAGTCCAAAAATTTATACAATTATTGAGATAAAAGTATAATAGTGTCCGTGACTTGCTATGCAGAGGAGTCTCAAGTGACTATTCCAAGTAGGACGTAGCCCGAGAGTGCACCGTGATAGTAGCCTTCACTGAAAACACAAATGTACTGGCGGGGTTCATTAAGTCGCGGAGAATCTTAACACCGCCATGTAAAATATGACGTCATACGCACAACGACATCTAGTACCTATTGAATTTTGAAGTTATACAATGTAAAAGATGAAGTTCACTATTGAAATAGGTTTGACATAATATTATAAATAGTTGTGTTACAGTAATTATTTTTAATGAATTCTTGGAACACAAAACCTTAAAAAACATCAGTCGTTGTTGGTAGTTTACTTTGAAATCTTTTACCCTTAAGTTAGGAAATAATTATGTATGATAAGATTTGATAAGATCAGACAGTTCGTACACATGGTTTACCTGATAAGGTTTACAAATAATATATTTTACAATTAGATTCTTATTAAATTAAACTGGACATTACTTTTTTGTCTATGTCTGTCTGATTATATTATCAATCTATATTTAATATTATTTGAATTAAATATAAAGAAACAAAGGTAACTCATTATATAAATGTCGGTAAAAGTAAATTATCCTATACATTCTTCAAATTTTAGGATATTGTTTACTCTAAAGTTACGTCTTTTTATCCGCCAGTATTTTAAGTATTATTATTTCCCACGGGCACCGGATTATTTGAGCTGTATGGTCTGAAATCGCAAATTCTATTACCTTTAAAATCATGTACAACATTGTCAGACATTCAAATTCTGATATAACATACATATACAATACTCTTATACCTTCTTATTATGGTACGTATATTTCAGATTTGTGGAGACCAATCGATTTGGGGGTTCTTGCAACCAGAATGATGTTTGCATCGGTGGTTTTGCTCGGCTCGCAACCTTGGTTCGTCAGCGTTTAGTCGAAGAACCGGACTCTCTACTCCTCAATGCTGGTGACAGTTTCCAAGGAACTCTTTGGTACAACATCTTACGGTGGAATGTTACTCAGGACTTCATGAATATGCTGCCTCATGATGCACATGTAGGTTTATTGTTACAATTAAAATGTATTTATTGAAATTGTTTTACTTACACTGTTTCTGTGATGGAAGAGAAAAACGAGGTTCCAATATAAATTTTAATATAATTATTATTTTTTATAATGCGTACACATCATTACTAAATATCAACTGATGCATCAACACGCCATAAGTTTCCATTGCTTCTTTTCACTCAGAGAAGGTATGAGTACTAATCAACGCGCTTGCTCATGACGGATTGGTGTTTTCAAGGTCAAAATTGAATTTGTTTGAAGTTTTCACGATAACTATTATTAATACTCCACAGGCACTGGGAAACCACGAGTTCGACAATGGTATCGAAGGACTGGTACCTTATTTAAAACATTTAAATTCAAAAGTTGTGACAGCCAATATAATTGATGATCTAGAACCAACAATGCAAGGTTTGTATGAAAAGAGTATAATTGTAACAAGAAAGAATAGGAGAATTGGAATTATTGGAGTTTTAATAGCTACTACAGATGTAAGTATTTCTGAATTACAAGTGGATATTAGTTAATGTAAAATGGTATCAAATTACTAATGAAATGTTATCTTTTTTAGACTTTAGCTTCAACTGGTAAACTCAAGTTTACAGACGAGATAGAAGCTGTAAGAGAAGAAGCAGAAAAACTAAACGCGCAAGGCGTAGATATCATCGTAGTTTTATCACATTGTGGTCTAGATATTGATAGGTAAACGAATTTTGATACCTTTGAACAACATAATTATATATATTTGGTTATTGTCTACGGTTCTTTTCATATTTTAATTCAAGATCTGCATTACATAATTATACAATACCTGTTGCAGCCATTTCATTAAATTTCTGATGTGATTTTTCAACTAGTTATTTCACGTTCATTAAATTTCAATTGAATTAATAGATCAATGCTCTTGTAACAGCAATATTTCTGGTTATTGCTGTAATATATCGATGCTGTCTATTTCTGGTGTTACGAGAGGCTCAATTCTAGTTTGCCGACCTACGACATAAAAAAACCGGCTTTAAGCTAGATGACTGCGACTTATACATGCTGCGAGAATCGACCACCTACCAACGTATTTGTATTACTACTAAAATCGTTAATAACAATTCACTCACGGTCACGCTTCTTGTAATAGATTTTATAACTGCTCCATATTTATTTCTAGGGAAATCGCTCTTCACGGTGGACCACACATAGATATTATAGTTGGCGGCCACAGTCACACGTTGCTGTTCAATGGAGAAGCGCCCGAGAACAGTGCTTTCATTCCATTGGGACCTTACCCAGAAGTAGTGGACCAAGAAAATAGAAAAGTATGAGTTAATTAAATTATAACAGTAACAGTTAGCCAAACAAAATCTCATAAATCACTGCTTTCGCTTATTCTATGATTAATCTAGAGATGTTGTGTTTAGTATTTGATATTATTTAATCCTTGAAAGAATTAGATAGAAATCCCTCGTAAAGCAATACTGATTGCATTGAGTTACTTGTGAATATATATGTATTATAGGATACTCGTCGCTGAATTCTTAATATACAGTCAAAACAGATTGCGTTAATAATAAGGCCCGCCACTGGTTGCGAGATTGTAAGCTTGATTTTCGTCGCCCGCATTTGTGTAATGATTTCCGAATTAAATAAGTAGAAAAAAAAGTTACAAGTGAGCAGACATCCACAGCATAGTGCACATTCAGGACAGCTGACAGTTACGTTAGAAATATTAGTCACATTATTGACACGTCACTTGATCGCACTCTCCTATATCTTCATTGCACTCATGTTAGTGCCAAAAAATCACAATCAGCAGCGAGCTTAAGCGTATATTTTTAAATTTTCAGGTTTTAATAGTTCAAGCAGCGGCACATACTCAATATTTAGGAGAAATTAAGCTAACCTTTGATGATAATGGACATCTCAAACATTGGACTGGAGACCCTCACTATATTGGAAATGAAATCGAACAAGGTATATGGAATTAAACCATTCGTATAACTATTATTTGCTGTTTGTTAATTTGCTAAAGTTAAATAACCGTCTGAAAAAAACGGCAGAGTACAATAAGATTCTTTCAATAAATTAAAAGAATTGAATCCTACTAAATATTTTATACCTGAAACATCGTATGTAAAGATAGATAAGTGAATGTTTTTTACTCTTTCACGTTACAACGAAAAAAGAGTTTTTAATGAAATAGAGATAAATTATAGTTTGCAAAAATAAATAGGTTGTTTTTCACGTTAGTTATGCAGCTGAAGTAGCTGGCAGAAGCAAGTTTAAAATATAGCTGAATAGTTTTGCAATGTTTAATCCGAAAGCTACATCATCATCGTCAGCAGATAATGATAGTTCCAATTATTATTTTAAACTAGCTTCTGATAACGGCTTCGCCCGCGATACCTGCTTGTGTGTACCTATACGTAATACTCGATACTTATAATCTATCTCTGTACCAATTTCCATTATAATCAAATCACTAGTTTTTACCTGGAAAACACCTATACTTAGCCAATTTTTTTGCGTTTATATGTAAGGTATAGTAGGGTTGAATTAAAGCATTGTTACACTTTTGGCTAAAACTCTTTTAATATTCTTATCATTAATTTTACTTCCAGCACAAGATGTGTTAGACAAGATTGAGAAATATCTTCCACTCATTCAAGAGAAAGCTTCTGAAGAAATCGGCTCAGCTCTTGTAGAACTGTCAGCCGATTGCACATGCTCAGAATGTAATCTTGGAAACTTAATGTGTGATGCTTTTTTGCATGCTGTAAGTTTTGTATAATCATAATCTCTTAAATGTTTTAGACAGTTTAGCTGACCTAGCTTCTAGTCTGCTTTACTTTTTGCATTATCATTCAGATACGTGATATTCATTGCTGATCGCTGGACATCTCCAACGACTTCTAGATTTTCTGTTTTAAAGCGATCTGCATAAAGCGGTATCTTTGCGTATTTAATAAACTCATTTGAATCATTAATTCTCTGGACTAAGAACTGTTTTTTTTTGATAACGAAATAATAATGCCACTATAATATTTTTTTCCAGACATTACCCAAAGCTGGACCGAACCAGTGGAATTACGCACATTTCTGTGTCAATAATAGAGGTGTTATTAGAGCAGCTATTAATAGAGGAGGTAAAATGATTTTACTAGTTTTTTAGTTTTTCGAGATTCTTCTGTCTTTTGAACGGCGTTTAAATGTCCAGTCAATTTCATCCATGTCGTGTTTCATTTGTCTACTACTACTTACATGAAATAAATAATGAGATTAGTTTCATTTACGTCTCGTTCGGGCTTCATATGTTTTTGTGTTATTGAGTTTTATCTGTATTCAATCAAATCTGGAATTGTAGATGAATTTGTTTTTATAAGACCTTTTACAATAAGCAATGTTTAACCTGTTACTACACGAGTGAGCAATATTCAAACGTTTTTTAAAATACCACAACCCAGGAGAAAGTCCTTTCAAGGATATTTGGATGGTTTGTGAGATATAAAATAAATCTCTTTACAGTAATAACTTACGAAGGAATAACAGTGGCCAGTCCGTTCGAGAACAAAGTTGAAGTTTTTGATTTAAAAGGTGAACATATTATGGAAATGTTGGAGTTTTCTGTGCAAAATCCACAGTGGCCGGGCGGACGGTTGTTGCAAGTTGCAGGTATTGAATTCAATTGATCTCATTTCAATCTGTTATACCTTTTTCTTAATAACTACTCTGATTGATTTAGCTATCGTGACTGTTTGAATTGATTATAATATGATCAGCTTCAAGTTTTGGTCCAAGATCATCTGATCCCGTTTTATTATTTTTTAAGAATTTTGCTTGTCGTCGGTTAGGAATAACTTCGTTCAGTAACAACTTAAAAAAATCTCATGGCTAATGATAACCATTTTAGTTATGTACACGCTTTGCCTTACCCTTTTCACTAATGTATTTTATTTTATATCACAGGATTGCGCGTAACATTTAATGGCTCACTGCCAATAAACTCAAGAGTGGTTGATGTGCAAGTTAGATGTATTGAGTGTGACGTCCCTAGGTATGAACCGCTGAAGCTCGATCAATACTATAAGGTGGTGTCACAGTCTTTCATGGCAAATGGCGGAGATGGTTATAGTGTAAGTAGCACTTATAAAATATACTTATTGACTTATTTACTACTTCCACGTGGAAAACAGTTGCCAGTACGTAGTTAACACTTGCCATGCTGTGTGTGACCTCAGTGCCTTAAGACGAAAGTCTATAATCAATGTGTGTTACCAGCGATGATCTATGGAACTGAAACGTGGTCTCTTACTGTGGGCCTTATAAAGAAGCTTAAGGTCGCTCAGCGCGCTATGTAAAGGGCTATGCTCGGAGTTTCTTTGCGAGACCGAATAAAAAACGAGGAAGTCTTCGCAAACGAACAAAGGTTTCCGACATAGCCCAGAGGATTAGTGAGTTAAAGTGGCAATGGGCAGGGCACACAGCGCGTAGATGGCCGCTGGGGCAGAGAGGTTCTCGAGTGGAGGCCACGTACCGGCAAGCGCAGCGTAGGACGTCCACCCGCAAGGTGGACAGACGATTTGATTAAGGTCGCAGGAAGCCGCTGGATGCAGGTCGCTTCCAACCGGCCTATCTGGAAGTCAATGGGGGAGGCCTATGTTCAGCAGTGGACGTCCTATGGCTGATATGATGATGATACTGTGTATTGCACTGGTACCCGCAAATATTTGTAATCCTTAACGTAGCTTGAAACAAGTCTAGTTTTCTCACTAAACAGTTATTTAAATAATCCAATACAGTAGTAGTAGTATAAAAAGATGGCTTTTTCTCATCCTGTATCCCTCTTTAAAAGCACGTAACGGATTTTGATGCGGTTTTAGCAAATAAACAGTGGAGAAAATTAGTGTCTATGTACAATAATAAAATTGTCACGTTTTAGTTGACAAGCATTTATTTATTTGAATAATTAACGAATTTGAGACATTAATTTATAATTTAACTTTTGATTAATTTCAGATGATCAGTGAGAATCGTAAAAACATTGAAGTCCTGGGCGTTGACTACGATGTTCTATCTTCTTACATAAGCCAACAATCTCCAGTCTTTGCCGAGAACGAAGGTCGATTGACGTTTAACAATTTCTGCCAACAACAGTAGATTATTCTTGAACCTATTATTTTTGTTAATAAACTCTTTTATCTTGTGCAAATCATTTTATTTTTGTAAAATAACACCATATTTAATTTTAAGTTTTTGAAACGATGACACATCAAATTTTTTTGACACACTGTACTAAAACATACACTAAAAAAATTGAAATGTAACAAAGTCAAATCAAGTCACCTAATAGAATAGATAAGTAGCAGTTCGGTAAGTGTTAGAAGGATATAATCTATCCTTCTTTATTATTACTTTATTTAAATACACGAATTAATCATTCGTGTATTTAAATAAATGGGATATGAAAACCCCCAACATCAGAAGAGTTAGGAGTGTTGCCGGCCTTATGTAGATAAGACGTCATTGCGCTAACCCCGCAACCCCGTCTAAACACCGGGCTTTTAGGGCCCCATCTGTGATGATCTATTGGCTTTAAGAGACGCGCGCGGAACGCTACGCGTCGTACGCTTGGGTCTTGATCTTTGTGTGGACGTGGCGGAGTGCGTGAAAGTCCCACACGCACTCCGCCTCTTCCTTAGCGATCATCACTGCTTCGCAGAAAAAGGGATATGGCTCCCCAGTCTCTTTCATTCCGCACTATGGCCTCGGCTAAGGCCGGACGCGAGAGTTCGCCACCACCGATAACTTTCCTGAGGGCACGGCGGTGCTCAGCCCAAGAAGGTCATACAACAAGCAATCGGATGCTCCACCGTGTCCTCTGGGTGGTCCATATAACGACGACACCCGGGCGTTACGTACTGGTGAATTTGGAATGGGGGCCTAATAAAGCTGCCGTGATCAGTAAGCACCTGCGTCAGGCGGAAAGGTGAGGACGCCATGGCAACTCTCAAGCTCTCAGATGGAGCCCATCTGAGGTGGTTTATTGGCTCTTTGAGGTGCGCGAGGAAGACTACGCGCTGCATACTCGGGTTTGGTTCTGGTCGAGCGGCGAGCTACCATTGCTTGCCGAGCGCAGACTCGTACTTAAGGTGGCCGGAGATCGTCGATCGATCTCCGATGCCCGGAATGTCGTCCACGACGATGATTGAAGGGTGAGGAGGATAACTCCCTTACGCGCTCCGCCTCCTCCTTTTCAAGCATCGCTTTCCAGGCTTTTCAGTTCCTCTAGTATTGCACCAAGGCCTCAACTAAGGCCGGACGCGAGAGGTCGCCAGAAGCCAAGAGTCTGAAGAGCATACTCAAACGCGTTTGACTTTAGATGCAGACGATGGTTAGAAATCAGCTTAAACTAAAGAGCAAAGCTAAGCGGTTTTTAAATGCTCAACGTCACGTAGCTTAAAGAGCTGCTGAGACCTTGGTTTCAATTTAAGAACGCGAGAACTTTTGGACATGCGAAATCGTTCGAGCAAAGTCTGGATCTTCAAACAAATATGGCCAACCGGAAATAGCTATCCGAAAGACTGATGAAATAGTTAGTAAAATAAATGAACAAATCATGATAAACGTTCAGGGAAATGTTGTCGAATACCTCTTAGTAGACAATATTCTGGACACAAAATAAATTACATCATACCTTAGAGAATTTCTCAATACTTTAGAAACATCAGGAGTGCCATCCCATAAGTTGATATTAAAAGTTGGTGTTCCAGTCCTATTAATGAGGAATCTTGATACTCCAATACTCATGGTTTTGGTCACACCATTATAAAGGCTACTATCATGACTGGAATTTCAAAAGGACAAAGTGTCTTGATTGGTATTCCCATCATCCCGACTGATTTGCCATTTGAATTCAATAGAGTACAGTTCCCTCTGAAAGTGGCATTTGCTATAACAGTTAACAAAGCCCAAGGTCGCTTAAAGCTGCAAGAGTTCATTATGAAAGAACATGACCTTCTCTTGGGCAACTGTAGATATGTGCCATGCTCACGTGTATCAAATACAGAAAATCTATATGTTTTGGGAAAAGATAGAAAAACAAGCACTAATAATTTGTGTCTATAACAATTGAATTAATAGCCACAAAAACGATAAACCTTTTTATTTCAAACTATACTTTTATTTCAACATCAAGATTAATCGTCGATGTTTACGCGAGAAATGCAATTAAGCGCGAAAGGGGTTGCGAAAACTTGAAAATACTGGCGGTTACAAATAAGATGGGAAACTCGGCATACTGCGGGTGACACAAAACGAGAAATTATGCCAAAAGGAAGGAGCACAATACCTGCAGGTCTTCTACGCCGTCTTCTTTGACGAAGGAGCACTTTCACGAGTCAGTTTGCACAAATCACACCAGTTTTTCCACAAATATCAATTTTTGTAGCGGAGAACGAAGCGAACTCTCGCGCGCGATGTCAGCCATTGAGATTCTTTTCGTAAGGTTGCACACACGACTCAAGAGCGCTAGTGTCGCCTCTCGCTCCAACGCGTGTGCTAGCGTATGTGCGGGAAAGGGATGGGGAACAGGATTGCAACCACCAGTAATACTACCAACATTACGAATTCCTACCGAAAATTAAATAAGAAAATTACCGCGCAACCATTCCCCCCGGGCTTGAAAGGGATGCTTTCAAGAGTTGAAGCCATTTACGAAATTAAATTAATTTATACGATAATTATACTAAAGCATACGAAACGAACTAAGACGAAAACTAAGTATTTGCCTAATCTACCTAAACACTAATAAACATATATGAGTAACGGACTTTTAAATATTTTATAAATTGGGCAACGGGCATAGACGCACGATTGGACGCAAGTAGGACCCACTCGCTGTCTTTACCCGAACGATGCGCGTCACTCCGTTTGAGTCAGGGAAAACTTCCTCCACGACGCCCAAAGGCCAGTGTAGGTGGGGTGAATTATCTGTTTTAAGAACGACTACCGTACCGACAACGACTGGGTCCACCGGCGTGTTCCATTTACGACGCGATTGTAATGTATGAAGGTATCCACCTCTCCAGCGCTTTCAAAACGATTGTACTAATTTATCTAACAGCTGATGTCTAGTCACGATGGATTTTGCCTCTATTTCTTCTACCGGTAAGTATTTTAAAGGCGTAAGATTCAAAAAATGCGCTGGAGTCAAAGCCAGTGGTTCCGAAGGATCACTAAAGAGTGTCCTACACAAGGGCCGTGTATTCATTACAGACTCGACTTGAGTAAGTACGGTACTTAGTTCTTCAAAGGAAAGAACAGTATCTCCTATGGTACGATACAAATGTGACTTTAAACTTTTGATATTAGCCTCCCAGTTGCCGCCGAAATGACTGGCAGTGGGGACATTGAGCGACCAATCTATACGATTTTCAGCTAACATACGACCAAATTCAGTATTATGATGTTTAGAGCAAAGAAGTTCATGAAGTTCTGACAGTTTGCGTTTAGCGCCTATGAAGTTAGTTCCGTTGTCCGAATAAATTCTACTAACTGGGCCACGCCTTGAAAGAAACCGTTTGAAAGCGTCCATAAACCTAGCTGTGCTGAGATCACCAGCCAGCTCTATGTGCACCGCGCGTGTAGTCATGCAGACAAACAGACACACGTAAGCCGTGTAAGTAGTGGAACGAACACCGCGGCCGCGAGACATAGTAACTTTAAACGGACCAGCATAATCAGTGCCCGTGTGGACGAACGGTTTTGCGGATTGAACAACACGACACGAACGATGATCTGCCATCTCAGGAAAGTTTGGCTTTGGTCTGAGCCGAAAGCAAGGCAGACACTTGTGTACTCTACTTCTAATTAAGTTTCTAGCAGAAAGTATCCAATACTTCTGACGCAAGAGCGACATCAACAAATCAGGACCTGCGTGACAATTAACCTTGTGATGGTAGTCGACGAGCAAATTTAAAATGGGATCTTTACTTGGGAGTAAAATGGGGTATCTCCCATCATAACTCAAATCAGAATTGCTTAGACGGCCTCCGACTCTAATGAGTCCGCCTTTGAGAAACGGTTTTAAGTGTCGAATAAAAGGACTACAATCTTTGCCTTCCCTGAGTTTGACGATCTCAGTGGAGAAAAAATGGGTTTGAAGTTCACGAAGAACCAGTAATTCAGCGAAATCGTAATCCGACGCTGCTATGCGGTATCTAAGAGGTAACAATTTAGCAAATCGACAAATGTAAATTACCACACGAAGTAATTTACTCCAAGACGAAATACGATTAGCCAAAGATAGAATAAGAGATCTTTCATTTGGTGTGGCGGAAAGCAACGAATGTTTCTTCTCTTCGGGTGCTTCGGGCACTGAAGAGGAATTAAATGGAGTGACGGGCCACTGTGAGACATCTAAGTGAGCCCACGGGGGACCATGAAACCAAAGCGGGTGGTCGATAATTTGAGAAGGTGTGAGTCCACGTGAGAGACAATCAGCGGGATTGTCTGTACCGGACACGTGATACAAACTTTGTGGAGATAAATCATTATGTATTTTAGACACTCTGTTGGCCACAAAGGTATTCCACCGATGAGGCGACGAATGTACCCAACAAAGCGCGACAGTAGAGTCTGAAAATGCAAATATATTACGAATAACCACGCGGTTTTGACAAGCGACAACGACATTTCTTATGAGCTGAGCTAGTACAAGTATAGCACATAGCTCAAGACGAGCCAGAGACACTACCTTCTTTGGAAAAACTTTCGACTTAGCAGTTAACAAGTTGACAGTATTACCATCGCTGTTTTTAACATGGAAGTAAATAACTCCACCATAAGCTTTCTCACTAGCGTCCGCGAAAGCTAAGATAGTAACGACACTATCGGAGACAATACCTACGTGACGTGGGATTTTTATGCGACTGAGGATAGGTAGCTCTTCCTTAAAGTGGGTCCACAGCCTGACGATATCTTCAGGTGGGGTATCATCCCAGTCACAATCGCACAGCCAGAGCTGCTTGATGAGAAGTTTAGCATACAGGACGACAGGCGCGACGAATCCCATGACATCCCATATCTTAGCGACACACGACAGTATTGTGCGCTTGGTATAATGCTGAGCTGGAGTATTCACCTTCATACTGAACTGG